AACGGAGCGCAACCCTCAGTGTCGCGCCCGTACCGGACCGGGACCGGCAACGGATCGCAACCCTCAGTGTCGCGCCCGTACCGGACCGGGACCGGCAACGGGATCGCAACCCTCGGTGCTGCGCCCGCACCTCGCTCAACCAGTGAGCGGGAACCGGTCTGTATGTGGGATCCGAACCCTTGGCGGGAGCGCCGCCGCGCTCCCAAGCGGCGCACTGTAGGATGCGCCACCGGGCCAGCCCTTCCCCTCCTTTCTAAAGGATGTGCTGAAAGGCGGTAAAACAGTGTACAGGTCCCCTAATTAAACTAGACCTTAAAAAAGCAAACATGGAAACCTGCTTTGGGTTCACCTTACATCATCAGATACCCACTCCCCCACCCTTCAAACACCTAAACATCACTTTCCCAATTACTCATGTCTGTGACAAGGGCTGATGCAGCGCTTACTGGGAAAAGAGACTTGTGGGCCGCCCTCCTGCCCTTGCCTTTGTGTCTCAAGAGGAGGGGAGGTGGAAAAGTCCTGGGCCCTGTAAGGCCATTTAAGGAAGGCTGGCTGCTGCTCGTTCCCTGTGGGGCCCACCGGACCTGGCTACCCTCTCTGCCAGGTGATTATGGAAATCCCTGTTTGCTCTCCTGACTTTTTATTGGGCAAGACTTTTCTTCTGAAATGCTCACCTTGGTGTCTGTTACACATTCCCTTCAATTTCCTTCCAAGTGTAGCCCCAGATAAGCCAAACACTGAAGCAATCAGCTCTCACATCTCCCAGAAGTTGCCCAAACCCTAAAATCCCCCAAAAGTACTTGTCACAATCCAGACTGCCTTTCTGTTTTTCTACTCTGTCTCAATCCCATCTCCTTTCAGGGCATGAGGCTCTCAAGGAAGGGAATGAAATCGATCAGTATGGCTGGTTAGGATGGTTCAGTGTGTAAGCAAATGAAAGATCTAGGTTTGAATTTCAGCTACCCACTATACGACTTTGGATAAGTCCCTTTACTGCTATGAGCCTCAGTTTCCCTGTCTGTAAAATGGGGATAACAGTTATAGGTTTGTGAGATTTGAATGTACACATTCATTCATTTAGTCAGCAACTGTGAGTGCCTACTGTGTGCCAGAGCTGGGCTGGACCCTGGGGTTACAGTAATGAATAAAACAGATATGGACTGAACATAAATGCAAGTGAGAATGAATATAAAAAAAGAAAGCAGGAAAAAAATCATCAAATGGTGGCTAATATTTATTAGGGACATAATAGGCACTCAAATATTATTTTGAGCAAATGAATGAACACTTAAATATTCACTACCTTGGCTTATTTTTTTTCCTCTCAAACTCGTTATAGCCTTGAACCAGCCCTTGAGGTTGACTGTAAATGGGCAAGGAAGTTTGGTTTGCTAGAACTTCCTAATGTGCTTGTGAGGGCTGCATGCCCAGTCAGTGGCTCTTGAAGCCAAGCTATAGCAATAAGTGTGTCCTGGGGAGACGGTGTACTGAGTGCTTCCCTCTGAAAGCTACAGAGGCCAGAGAAGGGAGACCTCAAACCTGATTCTGGAAATGGAAGGGCAGCTAGTCATTTTTAAGGTTTCTCATCTTTGGTCAATTAAAAAGAAATTTGTGGCAGCCTCTCTTCCTCTCTTCTCTTGTTTTTAAGTTTTCCTTTTACATATCCAGCTTATACTTGTTGCTGTTGGGAGGGCTTCAGGCCCCCTCCCTCTCTGTGCTTTTCCTCTTCCACTGGCTATTGTCTGCCTACAACTCTCCACTTCCCACCAAGGATGACATCTCCCTCAAATTTAAGAGGTTCTTGAGTCAGACTGCCTAGATTTATATCCAGGTAATGCTTCTTGCTAGCCTAGGGATGTTGCCAAGGACTTTCCTCTCTAAGCTTTAGTTTCCCCATCTGTAGAGTAGGCATAGAAGTACTGATATCATAGGGTGGTGTGTCAAGTACTCAATGAATATTAAATATTAGAGCCCTTGGAGTACTTGGTGCTTCATTTGATATTCTCCCATGTTTTTCCTT